GGGAACTCTGCAAAAAACGCATCTTCGCACGGGCAGCCCGTGCGTTGGCCAATTATTTTTTTTTCACAATGTGCTTCTCACGCAGAACATTTGCGGCAACTACTACTCCACGATGGATTTCTTCGAGGAAAATGCGCAAGCATTTTGAAGCCGTATCTATTTTGTCCATTCAGGTCAAACTGACGATATCAGGCAAACGAGGCAAATGTCTGATTAACGAGGCGTATTTGTAACAAATATGCCTTCAAATGGTTTATGGCTACTGCAAAATTTTGAACTGTGGACTACCCATGCCCAGCCATCCGCAACTCTCCAAATGGACTAATTTCACTCAAATTTAATATGTTAACGATTCAATGAAATCAATTCAAAGTCACCAAAAAATCTTAATGTATTTCGGAAGAAAAGGGGTTGCAGTCCATCAGTACGCCCATCAAACCGTTGGACGGATTTACTGGGAGATTTTGCAAATTTTTGTAAATCCATAGTGAAAAAAACGTAAACTTTTTGTGAAGTCAAAAAACAAAACTCCCTCCATATTCACTCTTTATGAAATGGAGGCATACAGGAAGTAACCCGACTGATAGAAAATACTAGTAGCAACAGCTTACTGAAAAAACTGTCGATGGCTGTCTCCTTCGAGAATTACTTGCAAGCAAGCTTATGGCAAGTGTGATTCCTTGAAATACGCTAGTACCAATTTGCCATCGAAAGAAACTAACAAATCGTAAAGGGAGTGGTTGTACCACCGGGGTACTCCCCGTGAATCATACGGAATCTAATGCCCAAAAACGCAACGTTGATTTGGTACTCTACCAGTTCCGCTTTCCAGTCCTTCCGCATAGATAGGCCTTCCTTGCTCTTCGGATACTGTGTTTTTTCTAACAGTCATTCCGCTGGCTGAATTCTTTGTAGTGTTTTCTAACCCTTAACTTTATCAAGATCATGGTCCAATAAGGCCTTCATGATGTGTAAATGCAATTTCGTAGGCTTTTCGATTTTCCAGCCGATCCCTTATCCTTTTTCGCTTCTCTTTCAATTTTAGCTTTCTTCGTTTCATATTTGAGATTAATGTCTATCGCTAGGTTGAGAAGGTCTCAACTTCTGACGGCTTTTAACCGAGCTTAGGAAAAAAGCCAGATCAAAAAAGAGATGTCTTTTTTGCATTTTTCGATCCTTTCCTTATCCTTCCTCTTCATCCTCGCTGATTCCTCTCTCACTTCCGAATATCCTCATCACTGGTCTGTACGGAAGAGGAGCGAGGCTTTTTGATATTAAAAAAGATGCATTTTAAGGTATTTAAAAAGATATAAACTGAATGAAATTACATTAGTTCTTCGAACTTTTGTTTCTAGGAAAGCGTAAGAATGCAGTGCACTATTTCGGCCCGTCCCTCTTTCCCTCTATTTGATGATCTGCTTGCTTACACAGCTGGTAAGGAAGAAATAAATCGTAAGCAATGGGTAATTTGTGCTCGTCTCCTTGCCGATCACACCACATATACGCATACACACATACCGACATACCGGGATGACCTTGACATCCGGCGGACAGCGTCTCCTTCCACAGTGACCAAACAATATGCTTCCCAGTTACTATTACTATTACTACCAATCACCACCAGTCAATGGAGGCATTAACAAAAGCATGCTAAAAGAGCAGATGTGTTTTTCAGGAAAAACTCGTCCACCACAGATTCATCGGGAATTTGCATTACATTTCAGATTCAATACTTACGTCCGTAACAGCTCCTTTGCTAACAGTTTCGGATGAAATTTTAACATTTCTTCCTTCTCGCCAAAATCTGTCTTATCAGTGGCAGTTGCTCCCGGGCCCTGAACCCTTTGTCCCTCACTCTCTTTTCTTTCCCACAATTTTTTTATACGGCGCGAGCGATAGCTGGCTAAAGTCCTGGTACCATATGGCGCAAGAATTGCAAATCATTTAAAACGGAGGATGAAAGTTAGCGCACTGAGAAGCTTACTACTTTTTAGCTACTTAGCTTACTAAGTTAGCTTACTTTTTGTAGCTTACTACTTTAGCGCACTGAAACGTAGCTCTGTTGTTGTATACCTTTCATAAAAAGTCACTACAAAAAGGGTTTTGACTTGTTACTTAGTCTAATTGAGGCTCCACTTGGAACCTTGCTAGGCTCAAAAACCCATAGAACGAAATTCAATAATGCACTTTTTGTGGGATTTCATACAAGGGGAGATCTGATGCAGTAAAAATATACCTTGTGTTCGATCGCGTTCACGGTCCAGTTTCTTGATGCGAAAACGATTAGCGATTGAGGATGAAATACTGGCCGAGTCATATTCACCGGATTGTTGCCTCCTTTCCCAGGCTTCCTTGCCAATTGCTCGTTCAGCCCATCGCTGTTGTTCCAACTCTCTGTCATCCTCGGCTGTAGTGATTTCCGCTGTTTCACTAGAATTATTATACTTAATTAGTTAATCTAGGACGAATAAAAGAGGGGAGCGGGAGCGTGAAAAAATGTGGAACACAAGGAAAAGCGATGGAAACGTCTGAAATACATTAGGAAAAGATACGAGGAGTAGAGACCTTGGAGGTGGTTCGCTTGGCGGGCTGCCACTTCTGCTGGCTTCCTTGATTGCTTTGAGCGCCGGTAATCGTTCATCCAGCTTCACATACATCGATTCAGCGTATGCATGGAAGCAACATCGCACAAGTGCATTTGCTGCCCTCGAATTTGTGCAAATAAATGCATGACATTCAAGAACCTGCAAGAAACAATGCTGAAGAGCTATCCAAACGCCCCTTTCAAGTATTTTGGTCAGCTGGTAAATCGTGTAACTGTAAACAAAAAAAAAATTAAGACAGTTTTGAATTTGCCGTGTCGACCTTATATTTGCCTAAACACTAAACATCCACTAAGTTTAGTGCTAATGAGAACAGAAGTCTGTACCTTCTCTACTTACATTTCAACCTCTTCCTACAACTTCTTTTTGCTCTTTTAACCTTTCAACTTTTTGTATGATAATAATTTATGCTATAGCCGTTTGCGGAGGAGATCCAATTGTAGCGCCGAATTAAGACGTACACAGCTTATTGGATCAAAATATTCTAGGCGCAGCTGAATTATTGTTTTTTCATACGTAATATAGACCTTAGCCTTTAATATGTCCGGATACTCCATCACTGGCTAATCAATGGCTAATATCAACTTCTTGAATAGTATTTATTATTTTGCTTAAACGTAATAAGTGATTTAGCATCAAATATTTTAAAAAAAATTATTCTTTTTCACTGTAGCAACAGAATCAGCTTCTTGCAGCTTCTTGAAATGCAAATATATGTCGTGTCTTACCTAACTCAGCAACGAAGTGTAACAGATGACGAGAAAATTATGCAGCTACAACGGATGCATGAAGAAAAACTACAGAGCAGATTGCGCTAAGCATCCGGTTTCTTTTCGTTGGAATCAGTAGCTATACAAGGCAGCTCCTCTAATTCAGGTAAAAACTATAAAATTCGCCGTTTTCAAGTATGCATGCAGTTAGCAAAACGGCATCGGCCCCGTTGAAAGCTATTTTTTGCTGACAGTCAGCTGTAAAAGCTGTATGAAATATATGCGATTTGATGGTACGAAACATTCCTGTCCCAACATTCTTATTTTTCCACGTTTTTATATTTTCTTTCGATTTTTCCCCTTCCTTTCGGTTGTCACTTATCTGGTAATCCAAAAACACTGATTATTAGTGTGCCATTTTTAGCACTATTCCAGTGGACAGTGCTAGTTTTCTAAACCGACCTTAATTCCGGTAGTCCGCCTAAAGATGGCAGCAAAAATAGGTGGATGACGGCTGTCTTCGTTGCTGGCGAACGGCGAGTCGAGCGGTAGAAAACGTTCTCCACCGCCTTCGATTGCGTACCCGGTCACGTTTACATAACGCACAGCGGCACAGTAGTGCAGGGAACCAATCGGATGAAAGGCTGTTTCAGTCTTCTTATCGCCTTCAATATATTCCAGTAAAATACCATTTGACCACACTGATAGCCTGAAATTTTTCCAACACCTGCACTTTTCCATTGAAAAAACTTAGCAGCTCCTTTTGTACTCGGAAACGCGCTGCAACAGCGGTTTTATTTCCCAAAAATTTTCTCCTAGCGGTACCGGAAAAGCAGTAAAACACCAAAAAGTCAAAAATCAAAACCTCCTCCGTATTTGCTGTCTTTGAGAGACAGCAACCAGAAGTAACCCGAGCGGACAGCAACCACCCACTGGCAAGGATGTCAGTAGCACGTTCTCCCGATATTTGCTTAGGAAGAAGCTAATAGCGGGTTTGACCTTTTAGCATATGTCAGAACTAATTGACCATTAAAATGAATGAAAGAATCGCAGAGGCATTGGTTATCTTACCAGCGAAGTCGAACCCTCAACCTGTTGCATAACAACAGTGCTACTTCTCACTGTGTAAAATTCTGCTTCATCAGTTAACTGCGAAAGGTAACGACGGAGGAAGTAGTAACACAAACTATAACAGCCTGTTTTTACGTCAGAATAAAAATTTTGCTTAAGAGCTGGTACCATAAAATAGTCCCAAACAACTGCTCTGTGCTTTTAGATTGCTACGTTGCGTGCCTTTTCGAATGGACCGTAATTTCTCAAAAATTTTTAAAGTTCTGAAGTTTTATTATAGCAAGCCAGCAGACACCATTGCACTTAAACATGTGAATTAATTGAATTTTTTGAACTGCTCAAATATGGCGAAAAATTTCGCGGCTTTACGCGTCGTTGCTTTTCCGTGCTTTGTTGCGAATGGGTCCATTCATATGTCAGCTAAAAAATTCCACAGTATTGAACAATGTGTGTATGAAAGAGCAGAGGCGCCGATAATGTGATTGTAAATCATGTGAAATGTTCTGACAACGAGTTGCGCATGGAACTGATCCATAAAAAAGTATGTTTTTCTCCCGGCATGTCAAATAACAGTCACAAAGCATACTTTTGAGCACTGTATAGAAAAGAAAGACTATTAGAATCATTAACGGATTCAAGTGGGAGGGGGCGGGGAGTCTTTCGCTGCCCCCCCCCCCTCCTCCCCCAGGAGTTTAGGTAG